GCCCCTCCCCCCTCCTCAGAGCCCCAACCAGGGCTAAGGAAACTCCTGGGCGGCTTCCTCAGGCTCTTGCTCCGCTTGGTGGAAAATCTGATGCGGCCCAGCCTCACCCAGACTCTGCCTCCAGCAGCGCCCAGGTAAATTGAGTTTGAGACCCCTGATTTAGAGGGAATGTTACACACATCCTTTAAAAACTAAAGCCTTTTTTTTTTCTACTGCTAAGAACTCACATCACTAGCATTCTTTAGAATGACATCTCTGGGGTTCATGATCCAATAAATAACTCCACCTTCAAAATGTGAACAGCTAATTTTGGCAAACTGCAGAAACAGGGTGCATCAAAATAATCTTGTGGCTTTACTTGGAATAAATTTGCATGGAATGCAGTTCACTTAATTAGATCCAGTACACCTGAAGAAGTGGGCTGCAGTTCACAACAGCTTATGCCCAATAAAATGTTAGTCCTTAAGTGTTACATGACTTTTGGTGGCTGTTCCTGTCACCATCACCCTGGAAATTTCTTCCAAAATCACACTGTTCGAAAAAGAAGTCTTCTCAATAGACCTGTAAGACTGTTGCTCTTGTTGTTTTCAGTGATGACAATCAAAACTCATCATGACTTCCTTATGACAGCTAAATTAGAATTCCACAGCTTACATGGACAATCATTTCTGTGCATTTGGTCTACTACACTCTTATCACTGGTGCAGGTTATAAATCTTTCATTCTGCATTTGGTAAAAGAGCACAGAATTCAAAGTTGCTGAATTCATCTTCACAGCAACCATACAGTAGCAAGGCAATTGCTATATCTGGTTTACAGATGAAAAACTGAAGTTTATTAATTATTTGCCTAAGATGATGCAGCAAGCTAATGATAGGTTATTTAATATCTTCAGGTCCAAGCCTAACTTCATTTAGTGGGCCACTTAGGAAATTCAATGAATATTATAGTTGGCTTTTACTAAGTAGTGTCACAAACCATTGTTTTCACCCATATTCTTCTGCCTGGACCATCTGATCACCACAGGCATTATAGTTGCAGCTGGCCACTCCAGGGAAGCCTGGAAAACAACAATCAGGAACTAGGCCTTTTTTGTGGTGGCCACAACATTGTGGAACTTGCTGCCTGCCGATGTACACCAGGGTCTCTGCCTTTTGTCCTTCGGAATGCATTCTGTGCAATGTTTAACTGATTTAATGTCGCCATCTGAGGGTAGGTGGGTTATATCATATTACATTTACAGTTGTTTATTATTGTTATTCTAACATGTTATTTTGGGTTGGATGTCATAGGTACATGCTTTGTTGTGGTCACTCAAAGTAGTGGTTCACCACTGGATGGGTGGGATATAAGTTAAACAAACAAACAAATCAATTCAAGGATAAATGTGTGCCCAATGTATGCATGCACACCTTTCTAGTACCATTCTGAATTGATCAATTCGGGCCCTTTATATGGACATGGACATGGCAGTTGTGCTGAGGGGATAGGTGGGCTGCACATTCAGGTTTATAGCCTGACTATGACCCTGCACTCATAAATTCCTGAGAAATCACAACTGTTATTACTGCCTGTGGATATCTTTCCTCAAAAGCAGCAAAAGAGAGCAAGGTACCATGCTCATTCATCTCAGACCTAGGAAGTCTTAAAAAAAAAATAAGGAATAGGCACCCAAAGAAGTGGGAAACATAGAGCTGAACACTTTCCCTTCACTCTGCTTCTTTTCACAGAAGGTGCCGCCACCAAGGGCAATCTCCTGCCACTCCCAGGGCCCACCTCAGATGCCTGGGTACCCCCAGTTTCCAGGAAAACTATTGTCACGATAGGCCACTGCAGCTGCCTCAGGCCTCTGTTTCTCTTCAATTAAGAGAGCTGCTGCTACGTACGCATAAAGATTAACTCCTGTGTGATACTGAGATGTTCTTCTTTTACATTTAGATCACAGCACATACACGGACCAATTACACCCTTTGATCAGAACACAGAAGCCAACACCTCTTCTCAACAAAGGGAAGTTCAAAAACTGCACCATCCACAAACAGTCAGAGTATTAAATTGGCACTTGATAACCACTGACAAGTTATAGTGAAAACTGATAGTTCTGAGAATCCCTCAGAAACATATCAAACACTCCCTGCGGTATTCTCTTATCAGTCACCTCGCCAGCAGCAATTTAGCCTGGCAGGAAGAACCTCTCTCTTTGTGATGGTGTTGGCCAGTAGAAGACCTGCTGTTACCCGAGACATCTGGCACGGGTTTAAAGTCACCGCACTTATTATTCTTAACTACGTTTCTCTAAATTGTGCAAATGGGCAATTGCAATTATACCTGTAGCAAATTCCATAGCATACTGCAATGTCCTAACAGATGTAATTCCTAGTCAAGATTCCAACTAGCTAGTGCACACTCTTCTTTCAAGGGCAGGGACTGACAGCGTACAGCTTTCCACATACTGCATCAGCCAATACAGCCAGCGGCAAGGCATGTTGGGAACTGTATTCCAGCAAGAGGCGAAGAGCCACCCTCCCTCCCTCCCTCCCTTCCTTCCTTTCCTTCCCTCCTTTCCTTCCTACCTTCATACCTTTATTCCTTCCTTCCATTTATTTAGCTCCTAGAACTGATCAATGGTAACGCTGGATGATGTACAACGGTAAAATAATTATAGGGCATATAAATTTAATTATAAAACAAACTAAAATTAATTTAAAATCAGATGGATGGCTACTGCTGTTAAACATACACTCAAGCAGAGCATTTAATGAAGGCCTGGTTTAGAAAGCCTGCTGAAATAAGAAAAATTGTAATTTTTTTTTAAAAAAAAATCTCCAGGGAAGTGGGGCAGGTGAATCTCGGGTAGCTGCTCGCTCCAGCGCAGAGCAGCGATCGATCACTGAGAAGTTCCTTGTTTTCTCCTTCCAGGCCTCCCTCGGAGTCAGCATCCTCAGCTGCCCAGCATGAGATGTGTGGGTAGGGCAAGTAACCGTCCTTGGAAGGAGGCATTATGTAATCTACTGAGGAAATTCACTCTCCACCCTGGCTTCCACTTTCTTTTAACAGAGACTCAGTATTTTGTGGTTTCTGGGTGTCATTTAACACGCCATCTGTGTGTTATTTTTTAAAATATTGGGTTATTTTTTAATTAAGTTGTTTTTCCTCAGCATGTCTTAGATTTTGGCTCTACTCCTTATTATTACTCAGCCATTAGATGTGATGATGATGATGATGATGATAAGTGAAACTAAGCTTCAGGCAAAGCCACAGCCTGTGCTGAAATTTACTCAAGACCCTTTTGCCCAGATCATGATTTCTGCATAAGAACATCCACATTCTCTGACCTTGGACCAATACTTTAAAAAACATAATCCATTATTTGTTTTTTTTTCATTACTATTAGCAATGCATTATTATTTACAAACTGCCAGAACTTTCCTTGTACTCCCCAAAAGCAACATTTTAGGAATAATGTTTACTCACTGCCCTATAACTGCAACAACCCAGATCCCTAGCAATTGTCTTTTTTCCCATGTTATGACAGTGTTTCCCCAAAACTGAACAGGCTTGCAGGCACAGTAACATATTTACTTGTAATGCAACATCTTCAAGCTCTATGCATGACCAGCAAGTATAGGTTGTATGCACATATGTTCAAATACATTGCTAGTGAGTGTCCAGTTGCTACTGTCTCATCTGTATCTTCATGTCAGACCAACTATGAAAACATAGTTCATTTGACAATTATACCATGTCTTCTCCTTCTTTAGTTATTCAAAAGAGTATTTTCTAAAATGTATGTCTATATTTATAGTCTTCTTTACCCTTAAATAATGCTCCCTACTCCCTCACAGCCAGCTTTACAGTGCTGTATACTCAGCTGTATATAGCAACAACTGTTGTTTTTAAATAGAAGTGGACATTGTCTCGTCTGCAGGTCAGATATAGCACACAAAACCTTATGAATGTTCTTGGGAGGGTCCAAACAAAATTGAGGGGTGGGGGAGAGAGAATTCTGGAGGGCAATGTTCAGCCCTTAGAACTCTCCACGGGCCACATGGACCTTCGGTAAAGAACACATTTAAAAAATGAAGTTGAAATGACTAGTTGTCTAATTCTAGTCTTGAGAAATTGATATTTCAGGGTGCTGAACAGTGCAGGGGGACCATGTGCCTTTAAAAAGAGATGAAATGCCACTTCTGGAGGTTTCCAGGAGCTGCAATTCAGGTTTGTTTGTTTTTTGTCCAAATAAAAGAAAAAAAGAGGAGTGTATGGGAGGGCTAGGGGCTGCAAAAGGTGTGGTCACTTATTCACCCTAATATAAAGTTTTAATTAGCTATATCTGCCTTTATAAATAGCCATGTGACTGGACAGCTGTAGAAACTTGCCTTCAAAAGAAATGAGGCAGAAAAATTCTTGTAAATGAGAATAGAAACAGTTTTCTTTCTTTCCCCCCCCCCCTTCTAATCAAGTAGTGCAGAGCTTAGAAAAACTGCCTTTCAAATCCCAGAAGCCTACAGGCATTGTGGCCAAGGGCCATACTGGCTGGGGGATTCTGGGCAAAGTAGCCGCCGCCACCCCAATAACTTCTCTGAGCTCTACTTCTGTATGTCACAAATGACCAGAAAAGATGTGTGCTGGTGAATGGATTAAGAGCAGCTCTCTACAAGCCCACAGCATTTGTTACTTTTGTCCGTAGGGAGGATTAAATCAAATGCAATGTATGCCCGAGTTCCCATGACAGCATCGTTCGTTCGTTCGTTCGTTTAGTCGTGTCCGACTCTTCGTGACCCCATGGACCAGAGCATGACAGCATCACATTATGTAAAATGGGTGGGGTTCTGATCCCAGGCACAACCAGCTAGGTTGTGGTGAAAGACAAAGGAACACATCTGAAGGCTTTCAAGGAATTGCTTATATCATTTTTTTTATCTTCTCTCCGCACGCCCCCCCCCCCAGGAAAACACATTTGTTTGCTTGTTTTTTTAAAAAACAACAAACTGATTTACCTTTGTAGCTCATTAGGTCCTCCAGCTGTGGGTGAGTTAGGGTTCAGCCTCAGGAAGTTTTGCTTCAAATTAAGATGTGTGAGGTCCTGGCTGTAGAAAAGATTGGCAGGCAGATCCTCCAGGCTGCAACACGAGAGATCCACTGAGCTTATGCGTTGCGATGCAATCTGCACAGACCAAACAAACAAACAAACCCAAAAATTACATCAAATAAGATCAACACTGGGGGTTTCTTGCTTAAACTAGGACACTTTGCATTACATGCAAGTGGCTAATGAGCCCCAAAGGAGAAGCTATTGAGAATTCCACCCAACAATACAAGCTTGTAACAGCTTGGCTGGTTAACACTTCCACTTTTGGACTGACGTGTAGTCATGCAGGGCTGAGGAGCCCATGGCACTCCAAATACTGTTAGATTCCAACATCTCTCTCTCTAAGCATTAGAACTGCTGTGCAGATTGGTCAGGCTTTAGAGTCCAGTATCTAGAGAGTCCCATGGTCTCAATCCATGAAACCTAACTGTACACATGACAGTGCTTAGAAAATTCACCCCGTAAGGGAAATGTTCACCACTCCAACTACACAACCCCATCCCTTAGATCAGTGGTCCCCAACCTTGGGCCTCCAGATGTTCTTGGACTACACCTCCCAGAAGCCTTCACCACCACCTCTGCTGGCCAGGATTTCTGGGAGCTGAAGTGCAAGAACATTTGGAGGCCCAAGATTGCCTTAGATCCCTTCACTGGCTTCCTCTTCCATGCCCAGATCCTGCACAAGAATCTTGTCTGTACCTTTCAATTCCTGCTCAGTTGTGCCTTCCTTATCTTTCTAGACCTGTACATCAACACATCCCTTCCTATGAGCTGCACTCAAATGGCATTAGGAAGAAGGGGACACTGAAATGCTTCTCAACTGCAGACTAGCATTTCACATGCAAGGAGTTTCTTTCACAAATTACAAGTCAGCATGTATTCCCTCGCTAGCATTCTAGAGCAGTACAGTGGGGTCTTGACTTGAGAACTTAATCCGTATTGGAAGGCGTTTCTCAAGTCAAAAAGTCTGTAAGTCAAGCCGTCTGTAAGTCAAGGGTCCACTGTACTATCCAGGAACAGTTGTAGTCTTCTTCCATGTTTGAATTTTCCAGTCTTAGGATAATGAGCCAAATCTCTGATGACTCACAAGAGCCATGGAGTTTGTCTTTTAATGCTGCATGTATTAACTGAATACAAGATATTAGCATTTCTCTCAGTTGTTAATGAATCTGCATGTACGGAGTGCTAAACACATGAACAGTATAAAGTAGGAGACCTTATTCCTACATTACGAGTTCTGTGTATGTTGTCCAAATGGGTGGAGAACAAACTAAGCTGGCTGAAATCCCTGCAGCTGAGGTAAACAGAGTATGGTGCAAGGTGCCTGACCCTCCACATGCTTTGAACTACATATCCCATCAGCCTCATCAAGCATGACCAGTAGTGATCAGCTTGTTGTGGTTTTAAGCCAAACATCTGGAGTCTATGCTTCCTTGCTGTTGACCTAGTTTGATGGAGAACAAAAGCCAAACGTGACCAGAAGATAAGAAGGTAGTGTTCACATACAATAAGGGGCATGAAAGGAGAGTGTAACAATAACTCAACAGGTATAGGTTACATTACGAGGGTTCGACTCTTTGTGCAGAAGGCAAACATTGGTCCAGAACATATTATTCCAGGAAGATCCACTAATTTACACATGAGCAGAGTGAAGCCTGACTGGGTGAAAAGGGAGCCTCCCCACCTTTTCAGTTCCACACCTAGTAAAGTCACTTGACCTTTCCACTACTGTGGCTTTTTAAAACTTCAAGTGAGAATATAATCAAGCATCGCAATTAAATTGGACAAAAATAAAAAGGTACTGTACAGTAAATGCTAATGCTTTTGCAAAATATACCCAAGGTTAAAGTGAAAAGGAGTCCACTGCTTCAGAGTTTAACAGCTCAAAGCTAACAATGTGCAATGTGGATTGGTTCTTAGGAGTATTGCTGTTGTTGATGATGTCTAAATGCATTCATGATTTGAACACTGGAAACAACAAGGATAGAAACTAATTCCAAGTGCCCAAACAAGAAAGGCCACTCGGAAACATCAACATGGCAATTTAATGGAGTACCTTTAAAGGATTTCATATACATTATCTTTGTAAATCCCACAACCACCCTGAGAAGTCAGGGCAATAAAGGAATTCCAACATTTTAGACAGGGATTGGCAAAACACAGAACAGAATAAACTGGTAGACCTCTCTGTGATTTGCAAGAGTTTGGCAAGGAGGGGTCTGATCTCCATATATTTATTAATAATAACAATAATATGATATTTACTGCCCTCTCTCCAGACCACCGTACATTATACTAAAAGGTGGGTGGGTTAAGGCAATCAAGCTTGGATCCTTGACTGTGGAAGGATGGTGAGCACTATTCACCTTTGATAACAATTACTATTCAGGACTTATAAAGACAATAAACAATGACTTAAGAAGCCAGCAGAGTTTCCACAAGGCATGAAAGTGGTAGGTTTACATAGTTCATTCTGAGATTGGTAAACCATGGTTCACTTGGCTGGGATTATTCAATCCAAACGGGGACACCGAGTCAAAAATTGAGCAGAAACAGGAACCAGAGACTTCTTGGTCAGCTGACACTAGTAACTATTCATATTACACCAGTCTTCAAAACCATACCAGATTCTGAAGCAGGCAAAGATGGTTGGTGGAGAGGAAAACAGAATCTATTTTTGCTTCAAAGAAAATATGTGAACAAAAACATGCCATGGACCAAAAACAACATTACCACTGATATAAAGCATTTTCACACATCACAAAAAAGAGAATCCCTTTGAACCCACTTGCGCATGGGCAAGTGTGGGTGGAGCACCATCCCAAATGGAATTCAAAATGAGAACAAAGTATACCACAAAGCAAAGGCTTGAAAACATGCACGCTCCTAGTTTATGCACATTTTTCCATTTGTGTCACACAGAGATGCAGAAAAACAGCATTTTTACAACCTTGGAAGGAAAAGTGCATCAGAAAGGCAACCCCCCGCCCCCCGATAAAAATGCCATGGCACCTTATAAACATTAAATGCTGTATTTCAGTGTGTCCATTTCCTCAAATATAAGAATAAGCCTGTATGACTGTCATGTTTGTACACAAGCCCATCACCAGGTGGGGATACAGATAACAAACAAAATGACAATTGTTTTTGTGGGTTTTTCAGGCTCTTCAGCCATCTTCAGAACATGGCCAAAGAGCCCAAAAAACCCACAACAACCATTAAATCCCGGCCGTGAAAGCCTTCGTGAATAAAATGACAATTGTCTGTTAATAAAGGAATAGGCTACTGGGCTGTTACTAATTACTGTTGTCACTCTACTAGGTAATGATAACATTGTTGACACAAGTGGAAAGCTGCGGGAATCAATGTAGGATTTCATAGACTTGGTTGATATTAAATCCTCTTAAATGGGTCTCCAGAATTCATTTTTATACTCTACCTGTTTCTCATTCAAACCTAGTTCTAAAATGTGTTTTTTTTAACCCCTAAAATTGACACTTGCAGGTCACTCAAAGAGTGTCCAGGTAGACTGAAAGATTCCACAACAGGTTTTTGTGTACTGCCATTCCTGATGCTATCTTTATGGCCATTCATTCTTTTGCTTAGAGAGGGGGGAAATGCACTTTGTTTACCTTAACTCTCACAAAAGCTTTCCCCCTTTCACCTACAGTCAATACCTGGTGGACTCTGCCTCTTCCACATAGGAGAGGAAAGAAACCAGACCTAGTTTGGATGATAACACTTTGCACATGAAGCAAAGTAATCAGCAGCCCATCATAAGGGCACAGGGAATCTTAATTGCTTCCTGTTGCTTTCAACTGCCAGCCTCCCAATTAGCAACTGTGCAATTTGAAGTGGCATGTTTTGTAACCTGAGCTGGGGAAGCTCAACTCTATTGAATTGGAAATCCTAATGTTTTTGCCTCTCTCTCCATCTTACTCCTGGCCACAGTATGGCAGCTATTGAAAGGTTTTTATTCAAAATTTGCAACCAATGAAATATAGTCATATTAGTATTAATTGATTAAATCTGTATTTATACAAATATGAATATCAAAACAGTGTTAAAATTTAAAAAACACACATTCCTTAAATCAGTGGTCCCCAACCTTTTCCCAAACGCAGACCAGTTGGGAGGTGTGGCACATCTGAGCGGGGGGTCGTGCAGGAGCATGTTGTGCTAGTGGGGCTGTGTCACGCTCGTGCACATGTGTGCGGTGCACTTACAGGGGGCAGGACATGCTCACACACACTCCCAGGGGGAATGCTCACGGGGGGGGCAGGAGATCTGTGTCCACGACCTGGTTCTGCCTAGGCCACAGACCGCTGCTAGGTTGGGGACCCCTGCCTTAGATGCCACAGGCATAGGTTGCAAAGCACACCATCCTATGAAAGAAATATATTCTAATATGTAAAAGAAGTTCTCCCTCTTAACAACAGGAACTACTAACTCGCTCTCTTTTTTTGGGTGTCTACCCATTATTTTTCAAAGCATGCTACTGCTACTCAATCAAGCAGTAGCTTTTCAACCACTTACTAAGGGGGTTTCTTTTTAACCAATTAGCCTACGAAAGTGGTTTCCAACCTTCAGTCTCCAGATGTTCTTGGACTAAAACTCCCAGAAGCCTTCACCACTAGCTATGCTGGTCAGGATTTCTGGAAGTTGTAGTCGAAGAAGAACCGGTGACCCAAGTTTGGGAACCTCTGGTCTAAGAGGACCATCAATTAAATAATTTTATACGTATATCTTACCATTAGGCAAAGCCATGCAGCTATTACAAGCACAGTTTTTGTGGTATGAAAGGGGAGCTCATTTTGTTAATTATTTACTCTGTTATCATTATATTTTTTTATTACTGGGGATGGAAGAGAAATGTTGATGGAATTTTGACAAGGGGCCTCACAAGCCAAAATAAGTTGACTGGCCTTGTGTTAATACACTTTCATTAGCTGTGCTGCATCAGGAAGCAAAATGCCTTGAGCCAGTCCTGGGGGCCAATGATGCCACAGGTAAGTCTCCTCACAGACACTCTAAGGCCCTGGCACCAAATTCTGGAAGAGCAGCACCATGATAAT